GGAATGCAAGTGTGCCGCTGATGGGGTACCAGGCAGAGCTCCAAAGACCCAGAGTCCAGCTCAGCTTCGCTCTGACTGCCCGCCGCTCTTGGCCTGGCACCTCTCCCCACGCCTGCACCCCTCAAGTCATCCGTGGCCAGGACCCTGCGGAAAGGGTCCTGCCTGCCTCTCCTTCTCCACCCGGCTCCGCGTGGCTGCCTCTTCCAGGGGGCGGCGGCCAGCATATTTAAACAGCCCTCTCCTGCCGCTCCCTTACACTCTGGCACGTCCTTTGTTTTATTTTCTTCACGGAACTTATGACAACCTATAAATATCTTGTTAATTTGGTACCGCCGCCTCCCATCCCCACCCCCACCAGAATGTAGGTCTCACTCACTCAAGTGGCCCTGGCTCCCAGAGCTGCGCCTGGGCTCCGAGGGCTCGCACTGAGGTGCCCCCACCGTGCCCAGTCCCTGAGCTGTGCCACTGCTGTGGTGTCGCCAGCTCCTGCCCCATCGACCTCGGGGAAGCCTCCCTGACTCTAGCCCTCCCTGTGGTGGCCTCACTGCTGGCGGCAGCGGGGGCTGCCGTTCCTCCCATTGGTGATGCGTGGCCAAGGGCAGGTTACCCTCGGCACACCCCAGCACCCAGGCCCGAGATCAGGGTCGGCGGTGGCGGCGGGGCAGAGCGGAGCTGGCACCTTCACCCTCTGGGCCCACCAGGCACGCCCTCCTGCCCCCGCCCACCTGGCCGGCCCCCCACTCACCCTCGCTGAGAAAAGCGTCCCAGACACGCAGCACCGTGGGGAAGGGCAGGGAGCGGGCGAAGAGGCACAGGAACCACTCGGGCAGGTAGAGCAGGGGCCCGACGCCCACCTTCTGCAGGTGCTTGTGCACACGCGGGAGCAGCCGTCGCAGCAGGGCCATGAACACCTCGGCGTCCAGCCGCACAGCCTCCTGCGGCCACGTCCATCAGCACCACGACCCCAGGCCCCACCTGGTCGCCAGGCTCCCACCCCCCAGCCAGCCCTCCCCCTGTGCCCTCGGGGCCCATCCCAGCCTCTCACCATGTGGGGCCCGTAGTAGCCAGGAAGGTAAACCTCGCAGATCTGTACCAGGCACCAGAAGGCCTCCTGGGGGCGGGCACAGGCCTTGAGTGCCCACCGCAGAGGGGATCGCAGGGGGAGAGGGGCACAGGGGAGGGCCTGGACACCATCTGGGGTGACTCTGGAGCCAGGAGCCTGGTCTCAGTGCTGGGGGTGGGGTTGTGAGGGGTGGGTCTTACCAGAAAGCTCCCTGTTGCCTAGAAAGAGGCCTACCAAGGGGTGTAGGGGTAGGAACACAGGGCTCAGAGGGCTGAATTTGAGGGTCGCAGGGTGGGGGCTCACTGGTCAAGGGTAGCGGAGGTCCCAAAGTTCAAGTCTTAGGTTCTTGGGGTCATTGGGGTCAGGGATCATGGTCACAGGGTTCAGAATCAAGGGTCATAAGGTCAAGGTGATAACACCCAGACTTTTAGATCATTGGGCCAAAGATCAGGGGTCAGGGTTCGATGTTCCTGGAATCAAGGTCATTGGGTTTGGCCGTCACTGAGGTTGGCAATCATGAGGCCCTGGCTCACTAGGACAGGTTTGCGTGGGATTTGAGGATCCTAGGTCCCAGAGGCCAGAGTTCCGGGGGATGGACGGGGGGGGGGTGGTCACGGTCCAGGGCACAGGTTGCCTTGGCCCCTAGGTCACTGGAGCTGGGGGTCCAGGGTCTCAGGTAACTGAAGTCAGAGTTCCCGGGGGTGGGCGTCTGGGTCTGGGGTCCCTGCCACAGGGCTGAGGGCACTCACCTCCGGGGGCAGGTGCATGAGCAGCACAGCGGCCACAGGGCCCTGGGCCTGGCAGTAGCCCTGCTCCGGCCGGTACAGGGTGTAGGCCTTCAGCACCTGCAGGAGCCCCTGCTGCCTGTGCCAGAAGACCCCATCAGGGGCCCGTCCTCCGGGCATCCCTCCCATACCCTCTGGCGGCCCCTGCCCAGGCCTCGGCCCCTCAGGGGCCTTGCTGGGTCCTCTGAGATGCAAAGACATAAAGCCAGGGTCAGGGACTCGGCCAAAGGATTGGACTCGCCTGGGGACTGGGGGCTGGGGGTCCCTGGGCATCTCCGGCCTCGTACCCGTGACCCTGGGGTGACACAAACATCTCATGCAGCGGGAACTGACGGTGCAGGTCCCTGCCAATGGTTTCCATCCACTGCGGGTCTCCCGGGGCCTCAGCCAGGTTCTGCAGGTGGGCAAGAAGGTGGAGGTGAAGGCCCAGAGGGGTGAAGGGCTAGGGGAGGAGGCTGGGACCCCCGCCGGTCCCCTCACCTGGTAAGTGCCAGGGTTGTTCTTCTGACACACGTGAGCCCCGCACAGAAGGGGCCAACACCGGGCCCGCAGGGCCGAGGGGATGCCTTTCCGGCACTGCATCTTTACCTGTGGGTGAGGCCAGGGCACCCCATTAGGCCAGCCATGCCAGATTCCCCTGCTCCTCTCAGCAGGCCTCAGGCACAATCTACTATCGGGCAAGAGTCTCCGCGAGAAGCAAGGAATGAAGGCAGGAGGTGCTGGGACACAGGAGGCTGAATTTTGCCAGGCAAAGGGGGACGAGTCAAGGAGGCCCGCGTGGGACCGCTCTCCCCTCACCTTCTTGTACCGCCGAGACATGGTTTTCTCCCAGTGTGAAGTCATCTCCACCCACTTCATCTCCCGCTGGCGGATGAGGTCAGCAGGAGGGTGACCCGGCCTGGGGATACACGGCACAGATGTCCAGACACGGGACAGCCACATCCACCACCTTTCCGGCTACCTGGGTGAGCCCAACTCTTGGCCCTGGAGATCTCTGGAAATCTCTGGGGTGGGGAGTGACCTGTCACCCAGGAGTTGCCAGTGGTTGTCATGGGGACAGGAAAGGATGTGGCTCCGATGTGGGCGGCAGCAGGAGACACTGAAGAGGGTGTGTAGGTGTGTGTTGGGGGAGGGGCTGGTTGACTGTCCCCCAGGATGGGGACACAGACAACTCATCAGGGAAATTGAGTAGACAGAGCCCAAGAGCTAGAAACCAGGAGTCTTCTCTGAGCCTGATTCTGTCTCTGATGGCGGTGTGACCTCCCTATCTTATCTCCGAACTTGTCTTCCCATCAGCACCTGGGGAAGGGGGAGGACTGGTAGGGGAAGAAGTGTGGGCTCTATGACCTCGGGACTCCTGGGCCAGATTGAAAGGAGAAGCGGGTTCAGCCCCTCTGGGAACCCTCAGAGACTGGGAGGAAGAGACACACAGGGACCCACCCCCCACAGCCCTGATAACCTTAAGATTCCATCTAGAACCCGAAAACAGGTGATACTAGCTGAGTCCCCAGACCCTTCGAGGACCCTTGAGGTTGGGCCTCACTCTAGAATTCAGCTCACAGGCTCCACCATCAGGCCCAGCACCCCGTAATCTCCTGATCCCTGCCCCACTTACCCTGGCTCTGCTGCACTGCCGCCAATGAAGCCGTAGCGGTCAGCCTGGCGATATGGGCCAGGCCCGCTCAGCTCTGAGTCGGACCCCAAAGAGCTGGAGTCATCCTGCAGATCGCTGGGCTGCGCCAGGTCCTCGCCCAGGGCCTGGGCCATGGCGCCACCAACCCCTGGTGCCACAGGCTGCAAGATGTGGGGACAGCCAGTGTGAGCGGGGGCTCCTGGCCAGCCTGGGGCCGGGCCGCCTCTTCAGCTAGGCCTCAGCCCCAGGACCTGCCCACTTGGTCTAAGAGGAGAGGTTGCAGGGTATCACACCAAACCCCTTCGGTCCCCTCGCCTCTTGTGGGGTGGGGGTGGGGCACAGGTCCAGATGGTGCAGAAAGACCAGGCCCCCTACTGGAGACCCAGGCCCAGCCCCTGTCCCCAGCAGCCCAGCTTACCTCCCTGCTGCACCTCACCTCCTCCTCTCACTTCCTCCTCAGCCACAGCTTCAGCAACGCTGGGGGCCCCTCCCAAGTGCGTGGGGGGGTACCCCTTCCTCTCCAGGGCTCTTCCGGCCTGCCCCAGTGGCCCTGGGCCATGGGCTCCTCCCACCACCCCGGTGGGCTGGGTGGGTGCAGGCCTGGGTTCTTGTGCTGGGTGTGATGCAGCCAGCCCCTGCCAGATACAGAGAGGCCACGCCGCCTCCAGATGTGAGGTCACCGGCAAATAAAATACTCAGTTCAGGGTTCCAGTGAGCATTATGCTTTATTTAACGTTTCCTCTTTTGTAAATGCTTTCGACAAGTCAAACAGTAAGGCGTTAACTGCGCTATTCAAAACACAAGGATGAGACATTAAAAAATAATAATGATGTAGCATGCACCATAGGCAATGGGGACCAAAATGAGCTCGGAGTTCAGTGACAGGTGTCTGGGTCTGGTCAGCCGTCTGCAGGCCACAGGGACCCTAGAGGTAAGAGTTCCTCCGTCAATCTGAAGACAACCCTTGCTATCTTTGAGCCTGTTTCCTTTCCTGCACTTCGTGGACTTAATCTGCACTCTTTGGAGAGACCCAATGAGATACCAATGAGGTCAAAACACCTTCCAGCCCCGGGCAGAAGTGGGAAGAACTATTGGGCCCTTGAAAGAGAAAAACAACTTCACACTACTTCCGGCCGCACATCCTCGGTGCAAGGGTGGGTAACTCCTCAAGGGCGGAACTAGAGTCGACCTCGCCCCGTGCAGCTCCGCCCCCGTGCAGGCTCCGCCCCGCCCACCAGGTCAGCCGAGCCCCGCCCCCTGGCCGAGGCCCCGCCTCCCGGGCCGCCTCAGGCCCGGGGCCTGGCGTCCAGTGGAGGCGCTAGAGCGCAGGGGCGGTGGGCGATCGGGCGGACCGGGGCGGGGCGGGGCGGGGCGGGGCGGGGCGGGCGGCCGAGGAGGCGGGGCGGCGGGCCGGGGCGGGCCCGGGCGGGCGGAAGGAGCACCAGGCCGGAAGGAGGCCGCGGGAGGGCGGGAGGCAGGACTGGGCCCGGAGGTGCTGGGCCAGAGCGGCAGCGCCGCCATGTCCGACAGCGAGAAGCTCAACCTGGACTCTATCATCGGACGCCTGCTGGAAGGTTGGCCGGGGCGGCGAGGGAGGTGGGCGCCCGCCGCGCCCTGGTCCCCTGCCCGGCCCGGAAGTGGCGCGCGGGTGGACCTGCCCCTCCCAGGGCCAGCTTCGACTGGGCGGGGACGGACCGCGAGGTCCCGTGGCCACATTCGTCCCCCCCCCCAACCCCACCCCAATCGCGGCGCGCTGGGAGGTCTGGGGTTGCTCCCCGTCCCAGAGTAGGCTCGGCGGGGGGTGGGGGGTGGTGCTTAAGGATTGGCCTGGGCTCTTGGCTGAGGGAGAAACCCGAGAAGCCTAGTCCCCCAGGAAGGGGTCCTGTGCTTGGAGGTTCTGGGTGGCCTCTGCGCACAGCAGTCCCCTCGCGAGCGCCTTGAGGGCAGTTGGGGGTCCCAGGAGGCTCAGCAGCAACAGCTGCCCCTGGGCAAGGCGGGCCGGGAGGCCCAGGCGCCCCCACCCAGAAGCGCCTGTGGGGCCACCGATGTCATTCACCCTCTTCTCGCCTGAGGAACCTGCGTCCTGACGCCTCTTTCCGCCCCCAGTGCAGGGCTCCAGGCCTGGAAAGAATGTACAGCTGACAGAGAACGAGATCCGTGGTCTGTGCCTCAAATCCCGGGAGATTTTCCTGAGCCAGCCCATTCTTCTGGAGCTGGAGGCACCCCTCAAGATCTGCGGTGAGCCTCCAGCCCAGGTCCCCGTGGCCTCCTGAAAGCAGCCTTGCCCGCCACCCCTCCCAAGTCCCTCCTCCCTTGGGCCCAACCCTGACCCTGGGTTCACGTTTAGGCTGCCCCTAGTGCTGACCTGGTTCCCCGGGCCCCAGGTGACATCCATGGCCAGTACTATGACCTTCTGCGGCTGTTCGAGTATGGCGGCTTCCCTCCAGAGAGCAACTACCTGTTCCTGGGCGACTACGTGGACAGGGGCAAGCAGTCTTTGGAGACCATCTGCCTGCTGCTGGCCTATAAGATCAAGTACCCAGAGAACTTCTTCCTGCTCCGTGGGAACCACGAGTGTGCCAGCATCAACCGCATCTACGGCTTCTATGACGAGTGTGAGTGGGCAGCGCGTCCAGGGCTGCTCTGGGCCTGAAGGGCACTCCTTGCCATTCAGTGCGACCCTTGTGCTGACCTGGTGGCTGGGGTGTCAGCGTCTGACAAACACCTGCTAAGCTGAGCGCCGTGAAGGTAGCGCCAGCCCGTGCCGCCCTCCCCTGCCCTCCTAGAGCGGGTCCTGGCACTCAGGAGGGACCTGGCCGGTGGCTGCTGACTGAAGGGCTGCCAGGATTCTAAGGCAGGGCCTCACCTGCTGACACTCCCCTCTAGTGCATCCGGTACTTAAGCACTTAGGATGCCTGTCAGGACTGGACTCCTCTTGTTAGCCAGAAGCCGAGATGAACCAGACCCCCTCTCAACCTGGCCCTGCTCTTGTGCTGGGGGTGGGTGCCAACCTTGAAGTCGTGCTAGAAGTGGAACTCTGGGGTTCCTGGGGACTCAGCTGCTTTAGAATTGTCTGGGAGGCAGTGGGCGTTCTGGGAGTAGGGGGGCAGGTGTTCGGTTTCCTTTTTTGCCTTCTGTTCTCTCCTCCTAGCTGTGTCTGAACAACACACAATGTGCCCTGGAAGGCCTGGAGACCCGGGCCAAGGGTGGGGCAGAGAGGCCCTCTGGTGAGCTGTCTCCTTCCCCCTGGGCAGGCAAGAGACGCTACAACATCAAACTGTGGAAGACCTTCACCGATTGCTTCAACTGCCTGCCCATCGCTGCCATTGTGGACGAGAAGATCTTCTGTTGCCACGGAGGTGAGCATGGCTCTGGGCGTGTGAATGCTTGGGAAGGATGAGCCTCCCAGGGCGAGCACCCCTGGGGACCTCGGGACAGAGGCGTCAGCTGAAGATGTGTTCCCAGAAGCCAGGAACAAGTCTCCCTGGAGTCCTGGTATGGGTAGTACTTCTTCCACGAAGTCCCCCAGCGCTGCAGCATTAGGCTGCACCCACTGTCGTGTCATGGCCTCAGCTTCTTGCATGGAGTTTGCTTGTCCCCTTTCTCCAGGGCTTCCCTGGTGGCTCAGATGGTAAAGAATCTGCCTGCAATGCGGGAGACCCAGGTTTGATTTCTGGGTTGGGAAGATCCCCTGAAGAAGGGAATGGCTACCCGCTCCAGCTTTCTTGCCTGGACAGTCCATGGGGTTGCAAAGAGTCGGACACGACTGAGCGGCTAACACTTTCTCCAGGGAGCTGTGTGCTCCTTGAAGGGACAGGGACTTGGAAGAGGCAGGAGGTGATGAGTTCTGCCTGTGTAGGCTCCCAGGAATCCTGGAGAGGGCGGAGAGGTGGGGGGCAGAGGCTGATTGGCAAAGGCTGCCTAGAGGAGGTGACCTGCCCTCTGTGTCCTCTAGGCCTGTCCCCAGACTTACAGTCCATGGAGCAGATCCGGCGTATCATGCGGCCCACAGACGTGCCTGACCAGGGCCTGCTCTGTGACCTGCTGTGGTCTGACCCTGACAAGGATGTGCAAGGCTGGGGCGAGAATGACCGTGGCGTCTCCTTTACCTTTGGAGCCGAGGTGGTGGCCAAGTTCCTGCACAAGCATGACCTGGACCTCATCTGCCGGGCACACCAGGTGGGCTGGCAGCCCCCCTGTCTGGGTTGAGCAGGACTGGCAGCCAGCTCCTGCTGAACTAAACGCCTCCACCCTCATCCAGGTAGTAGAAGACGGCTACGAGTTTTTTGCCAAGCGGCAGCTGGTGACACTCTTCTCAGCCCCCAACTACTGCGGCGAGTTTGACAACGCAGGTGCCATGATGAGCGTGGATGAGACGCTCATGTGCTCCTTCCAGGTGGGGGTCGGGCTGGGGGCAGGTGGGCCCAGGGGCCTATAGCTCGGCCCCCTGAACCTGACCAGTTTGTCTCTTCTAGATCCTCAAGCCCGCTGACAAGAACAAGGGGAAATATGGGCAGTTCAGTGGCCTGAACCCTGGAGGCCGGCCCATCACCCCACCCCGAAACTCCGCCAAAGCCAAGAAATAGCCTCTGTGTGCCCGCCCTCTGCCCCAGATGGTGGATTGTACAGAAATCACATGGCTGCAGGGGGCTCATGCTGGCCCCCCAGGCCCACCCATCACGGGGAACACGGAGGCTTGGTGTATTTTTTCTTTTTTTATGAATCAATAGCAGCATCCAGTCCCCCAGGGCTCTTCCCGCTTGTACCTACAGCGGCTGCAGGCAGGATCCTGGGGCTAAGGCTGCAGCTCAGGGCAAAGCAGGGCCAGACGGGATCTCCAGCCTTGCTTGGGCTCAGGGCTGGCAGCCAGATCCTGGGGCAACCCATCTGGTCTCTTGAATAAAGGTCAAAGCTGGATTCTTGCCATAGCCTCTGTCTCCCTTGTCCCAAACACTGGGCCTGGCAACGCTTCTGCCCAGAGCCGCTTGGGAGGCTTGCTGGGCTCGGGGCCCCAGCCAGGAAAACCCCAGCCACATGCTCCTGCCCACAGGGGCCCTTGGAACTTCCAAGCCAGGGCCAAAGAGTTCGGGGAAAGCAAGCAAAACAGTGTGTGCCAGTTACAGGAGCTCCCAGTGGTGCGCTCAGGATTTGAGGGAGGGGCAAGTCATGATTGGCAGAAGGTGGATCAGCAGGGGCAAAAGCCCCACAATGATTTTTTTCTTTCTTAGGGAGGTGGGCTTAGAGAAGGCAGTCCCCCAGTTCTGGCCACAGGGTTGGATTAAGAGGTGAGGGAACTCCCTGCAGAGGGCAGCTCAGCACCAAGACTGGGAAGAGACATGATCGATTGAGGGTTGAATGAATGATTGGGGGTTGAAGGGAAACAACAAGACCCAGGCCAGGCGAGGCCCTGGGGGAGGTGCCAGGACCAGTCAGCTCAGCTCCAGCAGGGCGCACCTCTACCACCCACCAAGGAGGAGAGCAGACCTGCCCAGGCTGGCCTTGGGAGAGGGGTGGGGTGGGGCGGGGCTTCATCTGGCCCAGTCCTCAAGGACGGACTTCTCCGGCTCAGCCTTCGCCCTCACTGTCTTCAGCCAGCACAGGGCTGGGGCCCTGAGGAGAGTGTGCAGGGGTCAGGATGGAGCCAAAGAACAGCGAGCGGAACTGGCGAGAGAACAGAGGAAGCCGAATGAGCTCCGGAGGCTGCTCCCTCCCTCCGCCTCCCACACCAGCCCCTGCCTCCGTGCTTCGTCACTCTGGTGTCTGACTCTGCAACCCCATGGACTGTAGCCCACCAGGCTCCTCTGTCCATGGGGATTCTCCAGGCCAGAATACTGGAGTGGGTTGCCATGCCCTCCTCCAGGGGATCTTCCCCACCCAGGGACTGAACCCAGGTCTCCCGCATGGTTGGTGGATTCTTTCCGTCGGAGCCACCAGGGAAGCCCCTCTGCCTCTCGCCCCTACCTTCTTAGGCGGGGGAGTCCCAGGCACTGTGCTGGGCTCCATGTCATCATCTTCCTCGTCTGAGTGGGGGCTGGAGCTACAGGGGCGCTGGAGGCCAGGTGAAAGGGAGATGGAGGGCAGTGCCCGGGAGCCCTCGCTGCCCACAGTGGTTTCCATGGCAATCATGTAAGAGTCCATGTCGTCGACAGCAAAGTCATCCAGGTCTAGGTGGGGCGTGCTACAGGCAGAGACAGTATCAGCCGGGGTAGAGTATCAGTATCAGCCCCCTGGAGGGCTCAGGGCCTGCAGGAGCCTAGTGACCACTGGTGACCTCTTGGTTTATTACTTCCTGATTTGGTGGGAGGGGAAAGGATGGGGGGTGGTGTTTTAAGTGGCTGCTTCCGGGAGGGGGCTGACCTAGAATCCTTTCATCAGAGTTCAGGTAGAGGCCTGAGGGAGGCATCCTGGGGGCCGCTTCAGCTCGGCTGGGGGAGGGGAGCGGAAGGTCCAATGAGCTGGGCCACCTGGGGCCCAAGCCCCCACCTTCCCAGGGGACAGGAACTGGAGAGCACTGGGGCCCAGGGACATGCTGGGCGGAGGGCCAGGCCAAACTTCCTCCGCTTAAACTACGCTGGGCCCATCCTCCCCAACCCACCTGCCCTTTCAGCCACCTGCTTCCCCCATCCCAGGCAGCCCCCTGCCTCCCGGCAGCCCTTTTCCCTCCTTGGCTTGGGAGGAGGCCTCAGCCAGAGAAGGAAGCCAGCCCGACCTTGGGGACACTTCCCTGGGTTGGGGGATCTCTGAGTACAGCTGACCAGTGGGGCTGAGCCTGCAGGGCTGGAAGCAGGAGCACTGTAAGGGCTGGGGCTCGACAGGAAGTGGGGATGGGGGGTGCGCAGGGTGGGGGGTGCAGACGCTGGAAGTGGCAGGCTCCAGCCTGGGTGCACAGGGTGGGCGGAGCTCTCACCTGTGAGCCTGAAGCCGGGGCTCTGGTCGCTGGAGCTCCTCTTGGGCACGCAGGGTCTGGGGGTGCGAGTCCGGCTCCGAGAGTGTGGCCAGGACAAAGTGGCCGTCCAGCAGAGAGTCCTCGATGGCAAAGATGGCTGGCCTGGGCAGGTGACAGGTCCAGGCATGGTCAAGGCCCTTTGGCTTCTGGTACCCCAGAGCACTCCCCTCCCTATCCCAAGGCTGGGCCTTACCTGCCCGGGGCATCGAAGTGAATGCTGAGGGACAAGTTGGCTGACTCTGCGAAGCTCAGGAGCCCCTGGGAAGGGAGAAGCAGAGCATGGAGGCAGGGCAGGGAGGAGGGGTGGACGGGGCGGTGAGTGCGCGGCAGGAACCTCACCCGGAATTCCTTGAGGCAGAAAGTGATGGCCACCCCTTCCTGGGCCTGCAACTGCTGGAAATCCTCCTCTCCGATGCTCATCTCCGTCACCATGGCTTTGACAGCGCTGTCTGGGGGGGGGGGGGGGGGTGCGGGCAGCAACAGGAGGAAGCCAGACTCTGCCCCCCAAGCCCGTCTCTGCTCTCTGCCCCCCCCCCACACCCAGTCTCTGCTCTCTGCCCCAGGCCCCATCGGTCCCCTCACCTGCCTCCTCCTCTTGGTAGCTACGCAGGATGACCCTGCGCCCACGGCCGATGCCCAGCGTCACTTCAGCCAGCGCCAGGGGGAAAGGCAGAACAGCCTCCACCAGGACCCTGTGAGGGGGGCACAGCATCACACTTGAGGCTCGGCCCCACCCAGCGGCTTTGCTCTCAAGAGGACCTGAGGCGGGACAGCGAGGCACACCAATGTCCGAAGAGAACCAGACCAAGCCTAGCACGGCCCTGGGGTGGAGCACGGGAGCAGCAGGACACGGTCCCTGCCTCATCCAAGGCTCCCAGGATGTTGTGGGAGAGCAGTCCTCTTGCAAAAGATGGAGGCAGACAAGAACAGGCTCACAGAAGGCAGCAGGAAGTTCAGGCGGTTTGGGCTGAACTGAACCAGGCAGGCGGCACCTGCCCATCCACGGTTGGGAGACCAGACCCACACTGTCCACATAAACACTGCCTTACAAACAGTCCACAGGTCCCTGTCTAGTAGAGACAGGCTGGTAAAGGGTTACAGGTGAAATAACACCTGGAATTTGCCTCAAGACAACTGGGACAGAAGTTGGTTATCTGCTTAATATGAATTTGAAATTGTCCATAAGACAAAGAGAAACCATCACTCGTTTTAAAAGAAAGAAAAATCCTCAAAACCCGGACCATGGATTGATTCCCTCTTTCTCTACCCAAAGGAATCCTGGGCAGTGCTATTTCAACATAACTCAGAAAAACAAAGTCAGGGCTCAAAGGGACCTTCAAATTACCATATCCTGTGGCTACCAAAAGCAAAGAAACGTGAGACCTTGGGTTACTGAGTGCAAGGGGCACCCTGCACATGGGCAGGTGGGAGGGGAGCCCCTCCTCTCTGGTCTTCTCCAGGGACCTTGGAGTCTGCTGGGCTCCCCATCTCCCAGGCCCTGCATGGTCCCTGTGACTGCCCAGAACAGCTCCTCTCCTATAGCTGGTTATTCAGGCAGCCCTCCGGGACCGTGACCTCCCTGTCCAGCCATGGCCTGAGGACCCCTCAGGGCTAGAACCCAGCCAGGTAGGAAGAGAGGCTGCCCTTGAATGGGGATCATCCAAGAAGGATGACCAGATCAGAGAAGGGTTACAAGTCCCAGAGCCACAAAAATTAAGGGACATTCAAAGGTGTTCAGGCCAGAGGAGACGTGAGGGCAAGCCGCAGACCTGTTCTTTGAAAGAGGAGTCAGAGTGGGTCTGAGCGGTCAGAAAGCCAAGTCAGACTTTGAGGTGGAGAATACAGACTCAGGAGACAGACAGGAACATGGAACAAGGGAACATCTGCCCCGCCTAACTCCAGCCTCTACCCTTAAAGAGCCAGTCAAGGCCCTGAAAGCAAACCCGGTCAGATGAACGCTTGGAGGGTCACAGATGCCCTGCAGGAAAAAGAGGAGGTGCCTCCTTAAACTGACTCCTGAGGCCGAAAAAAGGAAGAGAAAAGCCTAGGGCTCAGCGTGCAACCAGGGGCGTGCTCACCTGGCTGGGGCACGGAGCACATGGGGACACAAGGCTGGGTCGAAGACGGCCTGCAGGGACTCGCAGTCCTGGAAGGACAGGTTGTGAGTCTTCCTCACCCCTGGATGGGCAGACAGGGTCTCAGTGGACTCGCCAACCTCTAATCCCACGCTGCAAGGACCCCTGGGTCAGCCAGCTGCTCACTCACCATATTTGCAGTGCAGCTGAACTACCAGGCGGCTGCTCCTGTCATTCAGGGAAATGCAGCATTTCTCCACAGTCTTTTCCAGCATTGCCAGTGAGCGGAAGACAGACAGGAAGGACTAGGCGAGGGAAACACATCCACTCAGCATTGCGCCTCCACCAACTGGCTCTCAGGTCCAGTCCCCTTGGGCTCTGGCCCATCATGGGCTCAGCATTGTCACACCAGGAAGGGACCCCTCACACATGCAGATATCTGCACTCTTTCAGATCTTTGTTCGTGCTCTTACCCTGGTCTGGAATGCCTTCAAAAGACGTGCTTATCTTTCAAGGACCAACCTCAAAGTCATTTACTCCCTGCAGGTCCCTGGCAGATTCAGCTACCCTCTCCATGTGGCCCATTATCCCCATGGATGTCTCTACTCAGTCCTGGCCCTGCGTTCTGCACCGGATTGCTCCGGTATACATCTCTCCCCCTACAGGAACCTGCTGTGTGCCCCAGAGCAAACTGCACTACGGGGAGGGGTTCCTGGGGGAGTGCCCTGCCACTGCTGAGGGACCCGCCTCACCTTCATCAGGATCTTACAGCGCAGCTGGTACTGACCAGGGGTGGCCGCCTGGTACTGCTGGAAGAAGAGGGGGGCAAAGACGAAGCAGGCGTAGGCCGAGCGGGAGGAGTTCACGGTCCGGAGGGAGAGCTGGGGTCAGGAAAAGTGGGGAGAAAGATGTGGTCACCAGCAGTGCTGGGCCCAGCCCTCAGGCTAGCTTTTGCCCAGGCACTTGCCCCAACGGCTTCCGTTCTACCATCACCTGCGGAAGCCCGCCCTCTCCTTCCAGTCATCCGTGGTGTCCTCCATGCAGCCTTCCCCAAGTCCCGAGTGGGCCTCAGTGCTGCCCCTTCCACAGCAAGGGCGCGACCCAGCCTTCAGTCCCCATGCCTTTACCTAATCACCCCCACCAGGCACTTTAGGGAGGGCAAGGGCTCTTGATTCGGACACGAGCCTGGGAAGATGACAGGGCCCAGAGGGACGTCCCAGCAACAGGGGAGGCCCCTGCTAAACTCAGCAAACGTGCCCACCGGGCACTCTGCCTGATGGGGCGAGACTCAAGCCCCGATCAGGGCTCCCTGTGGGGCTTTCACGTCACACCCCCATACCCGGTCTCCTCACCCCGTCTTCCAGGGGCTCCAGGTAGAGTTCGTCCCCGATGCGGGACAGGGAGTGGACGGCCTTGCCGAGCACTGCGGGGAGGAGGGGAGAGACAGGGGTTTGCGGGAGCCTCGGGCCGCCCCACGTGGTTCCAGCCCCCGGCCGGCCCCGACTCACCCTTCACATTGCTGCCCGTGACCAGACACTTCATGCTGCCCCCAGTGACCGGGATGGGGCAGGCGGCGGGCTCGGGGGCAAACCCCAGCTCAACGGTCCCCTCCGGATCTCTCCCCCTGCTCTAGGCGGCCGGGGGTTCCCTTCCCGCGCACCGCCCCCGGCAGCCCCGCCCCCGCCTCCTGATTGGGCCGCAGGCCGGCAGCTCTGTCACGTGAGAAATACGCTGGCCGGCTGCGCATCACGTGACGGAGTCTGCGCCCGGGGCGGGTCCTGTCACGTGACGCGGGAGTGTCGGGTTCCCCTGTGTGGTCCGGACCCACCCTCTGCCCTCCAGCGCCCCGGGCAGCCTGGCGGGTCAGCTGGGCCCACGGCGGCCGCGCGCCCGAACGCGAGGTGCCCAGAGGGTGTCCGGGAGCGAACAGTGGGCTCGGAATCCGGAGATGGGCGGGCGGGCCCGGCCGGGGTCACTAATTTAGTACGGATTTCCTGGACGTCTGTCAAGCGCCAGGGGGTGCGTACGGGGTCGATGCAAGACCGTCTCACACCGTCCCAGCGGGCCGGGGACGCGGACCGAAGCAGCAACTACCAGCTTTGAAAAGATAGTAACGCACCTTGCTACAGGATCCCGGGGTGGGAGGTGGCTGCTCGCCGTGGCTTCGGCGAGCCTCCTTTGATCCCGAAGAGCAGAAGCTTCTCCGGACGGAAAGGGGTAGAAGGATGTGGCCGGCAGGAGACGGCGAGAGTACAGAATCTCAGCAGCGCGTGGGGCTTTTCCCTCCGTTGGGAAGGAAGTGCGTCTGTGAGAGGAGGGATGGGTGCTGCTGAAAAAGAGGGTCTCTGATGGAAAGCGCTGGAAACATTTTATGAGGATAGACTCCTGCGTCTCTGGCCTTTTGAAAAAGACCAAGGGAGGGTGCCAAAAGGGCTGAGTCAATCCCTGGGTAGGGAAGATCCCCTGGAAGAGGAAATGGCAATCCACTCCAGTATTCTTGCCCAGAAAATCCCATGGACCGAGGAGTCTGGTGGGCTACAGTCCATGGGGTCGCAAAGGGTGGGACACGACTGAGCACGTACACAGCAGTCAGCCGGCCAGGTCTTCCCCTCGTCCTCAGCATCGGTCCTCAAGTGAGTGAAGAGGAGGGCAAGTCATGGAGGGGCTCCTGGCCTCTGGTTTCCTGCAGCACCTGGTGTGCTTTGAGGGACCCTTGGGCACCCCTGCATTCCTTTAGGGCCTTGCTCCTCTGGCACTGTCGCCAGTAAGGAAGCCACGTTTGCAGGACCCTTGCGCTCCTGGCCTGCAATTCTGGACCCTACTTTCTCTCCTTACCCTCAGTCTTCCTCCCTCACCAGGTTTCCCTGGATTACTGGGGGAGATTATTCTTGCCTTTTAAGGGGTTCAGTGTAAATGATACCACTTATACCCAGGCATTTAGCTCAGTAAACTGGAACTCATCCTTGATTCCATCCTGACCCAACACTTACATAATATAATACTTCAGCAAGCCCTGAGTGCTCTGCCTCCCAAACAGATGGCAAAGTGGTCCTCCTCTCCCATGTCCACAAGCATCATTCTGGCTCAGGCCGCCATCATCTCTCACTTGAATGATGGTGGGAGCACTCTGAGTGGTTTCCTGCCCCTCCACCCCACTCTCCATACAGCACCAAAGTGACCTTCCTAAAACGTCATTCATGTCACGCCTTTCCCAGGTTTAGACCCTGCAGTGGTTTCCAACTACTGCACTTGCCAGCAAATCTAAATCCCTTGGGAATTCCAGAGGCTCCACTGGTAAGGACTCTGAGCTTTTACTGCCAAAGGCGCAAGTTCAACCCCTGGTTAGGAAACAAAGCATGGCCTAAATAAATAAATAAGCTACCAAAAACTAGAGCCCTTACCCCAAACCTGTAGGAAGGATCTGGCCCTGCCCGTCTCTTTACCTGTCTCTGACCTCCCTCTGCAGCTGGGCTGGGAAGCAACCACATCCTTCTCCACCTTGGGCTGTCCACATAAGCTATTCCCACCACCTGGAATGTTCTTCCCTCTTCTCACACGGAGGCACCTTCTCTTCCTAGGGCTCAGCTTCAGGTGCCCATCCTCAAATAGGCCTTCTCTGCCTCCCCGCTCCAGGCCCCCTCCCCATCATCCAGCTAATCCCTTGCTCGGAGTCATCCACAGCACTTAGCACAACTCAACATTATTTCACATATGTCTACTTCTGTACTGCCCCTAGGATGTCAGCCCCATGAGGCCAGGACTGAGTCTGTTGTGTGTTTGTTACTGCGTCACCGTACCTCCCACAGGGCCCGGCCCTCAGCAGGTGATCAGTAAGTACACGTTCAGTGAATAAGTGTGTGATCCAAGTGAAACTGAGTTGACTCTGGTTGCCTCTTAGCACAGTGCTGTGATTAAATAAAACTTCCAAGCCCTGCCCACAGTCCTACCCTTCCGTGGATGATAGCTGTCACCCCACATTCTGTCCAGTCCACCACCCCCCAAACAAAGAACCTAGCATTCATTATTCTTCTCCTTATTTTACTCCTCCTCCCTGGATCTCACCCTCTCTCTTTTTTATTCCAGTGAGAATCAGCCAAGCCTTCATGGCTTCACTGCTTCCCCAGCCATTGCCTGAGCAGCCCAGTTGGAACAGGAGATAGATCCAACACTCCCTGGAAGGCAGGGAGGGGAGCTGTGACTCATCAAACAGCCAGGTCTCTGCTTCTGAGTCTTATGGGGCTGTAGGGTCCTGTAGCCTCCAGGCTTTGGAGCAAGGCTCTGGAGGGAGGAAGTTGTCTAGTTGCTCATTCGTGTCTGACCCTTTGCAACTCCATGGACTGCAGCACACCAGGCTTCCCTGTCCTTCACCATCTCCTGGAGTTTGCTCAAATTCATGTACATTGAGTCAGTGATGCCATCCAACCATCTCATCCTCTGTTGCCCCCTTGTCCTTTTGCCTTCAATCTTTCCCAGCATCAGGGGCTTTTCAAATGAGTTGACTCTTCACATCAGGTGGCCAAAGTTTTGGAGCTTCAGCTTCAGCATTAGTCCTTCCAATGAATATTCAGGGTTGATTTCCTTTAGGATTAACTGGTTTGATCTCCTTGCTGTCCAAGCGACTCTCAAGAATCTTCTCCAACACCACAGTTAGAAAGCATCAATTCTTGATTGCTCAGTCTTCTTTATGGTCCAACTCTCACATCCGTACATGACTACTGGAAAAACCATAACTTTGCCTGTACGGAGGGCGAAGGAGACAGAAATGCTTTTGGACTTCTGATGAGTCTTTCCTAAGCTATGTGTATGTGTGCGTGTGCGCACACACCTGCCAAAGCCAGGAATCTCCTGACCCTTCCGAAGGGCTCAGACACCAGGAAGGAGCTTAGAGCTGGGAGTCGGGAGTCCTGGGTCTGCGGTCTGTCCTCAGCACTGACTCTGCTGTGACTTTGGGTGAGTCCCTCCCATGTCTGCGGCTGTACAATACGGTCGGTGGCGAGAGATGCCCCTTCCCAAATTGATGTGCCGAGATTTCAGGGGGCCTTCTGACTGCTCTGAGCCCCTCTGCTAGCCACCGCCACTCTGGGGAAGAGCTGGAACTGGAAGGCCTGCTCCCCCAGGCTGTGCGGCTGGAAGGGAGCTCTCCCATCAGACGTCAGGCAGCCTCTCCAGGATGGCAGTTGGTGCAGCCAAGAAGGCCTTCCAGATCCAGAAAGGAGGAGGCACAGGGGACTCCAGTCCTGCTCACAGACGGCCTCAGGCAAGCCAAGGCCCTCCTCTGGGTCTGTTTCCTCCTTGATAAAGTGAGCAGGTTGAATGAGATGCTGTCTCAAGAGTTTTTAAAACCCCACATTCTTACAGTCTTCACCATACCCCACATTAGAGATGGCCTCCTGCAAGTACACAGCATGTGATTGTGTGGGAGTGTGTGTGTGAGTGTGTGAGTGAGTGTCTTGGGGGTAGATATGAAGTGGGGGAAGGTGGTTACCATTTCAAGCTTCTAAAATAATGATCTGTCTGGAAATTTCAACCGCCGCTTATCACCCAACTTGTTAGGTTTGAAATCAGAATCCTCAGAGCTCAGTAATTCATTCAGTTAACACATGTTAGGACTTCCCCTGGTGGTACGGCGGATGAGAATCCACCTGCCAATGCAGGGGACACGGGTTCAATCCCTGGTCCAGGAATATTCCACATGTCGAGGGGCAGCTAAGCCCGTGCACCACGACTGCTGGAGCCTGCCAGCCCTGGAGCCCACGCCCCACAAGGGAAGCCACCAGAATGAGGAGCCCGCACACAACCAAGAGTAGCCGCCGCTCATCGAAACTAGAGAAAGCCCTGGAACAGCAAGGAAGACCCAGCGCAGCCATCAATAAATAATTTTTTAAATGAACATTTCTAATAGGGTCAATCTGAATACTGGAGAAGGAAATGACAACCCACTCCAGTGTTCTTGCCTGGAGAATCCCAGGGACAGAGGAGCCTGGTGGGCTGCCGTCTGTGGGGTCGCACAGAGTCGGACACGACTGAAGCGACTTAGCAGCAGCAGCAGCAGCAGCAATCTGAATACACACTAAAAAACAAACAAACGTGTCAGACACACTTTTCTAAGTGTGGGAAAGAGTCCAGGACAAAAGTCCCTTCCAGAGGGCCTGACGCTGCCGAGGCTGGGCTGTGCACACACGGGAGGTGGGCTGTGCGTGGTGATGCTGGGGTTTCCCGGTGTGAGAGGGAGTTCTGAGCGGATGGGTCTGTGGCACACCAGGTGCCTCCAGCCCTCGGAGGCGCGCCTGGCCTGGGCCTTTTTTGTTCCCTGGCGTTTCTCCCAGCAGCCAGAAAAGCTTGACACATAGCAGTGGTTTAATAAACATAGGTCGGATGGCCAAAGATTGTCGGATTCTGAAGGTTGACAAGACTTGAAGCCACGTTGTCTGTTGAGGTGGACCATGGGGTTCTAGGCCCTTGTGTGCCTGAGTCTGAATCCTGGCCTCGTCGCTTTCAGGTTCTGTGCAAATGAACGCTTTGCTTTTGTATTCTCTGAACCT